AACCATAACATTTTTCAATTTATCCCCCTGATTAAACCCCGGACCAAGAACATGCAAACCAAACATAACACGGGAATCAGACGCCCAATCGGGTATCCGACGAAAACTAGAAGAAATCTTAGCCCCCCTAGGTCTATCTTCACCATCCAAATCCCCTTTTTCTATATACAACCAATTTTTACCATTCCCATCACCCATAGAATCCACCAGATCATGATCCATGTTCCAAAGGTCTTTCCCAATAAAGCCTTCCACCCCCATACTCTTTTAGATCCCCAGATGACAAAGGAGCCCCAATCGAGTAAGATTTCCAATGATGGTCTTTAAAGGGTCTGTTTATAATAATTTCCCATTTTCATTTTCTTACCTGGTTTACAAGAAGTCCAACTCTTAGCTGATTTGAAAGAGAAAGTTTATCTATTGCCTTATCTACATATTAATCTTGTCAAGTGACTTTATTAAAGTTGATAAAAAAGAAAAAGTGACTTTATTAAAGACAAGCTAACATGAAGCCAATCAGTCTTTAGGGGATTAACTTGTCCTAATTTGATTATAATCATAAAGTTAGAATGATAGTTGAATTGTATAGTGCCAAGCCAAAAAAATGGTTAGGTCACCGGGGTATCTGGGACTTTATTTCGACTAAATCCCCAAAATACCGTGTAAAGCTCCCCTTTCACATAAGTCGGGTAAAGTTTAGACTTTCGCCTCTAAATTTGATTTTTCAATCAATTAATGCACATAAATGGGCTAAACGTGGCTCGAGGGATGTGATCCTGCTGAAACTTGGGTTAGTGTGTAATTGTTTGTATTTAACCTAAACAAAACTCAGCCCAACCCACCCTGGGAGAACTAGTTTTTCAAGTTTCAAGATAGGTAGCTCATCAATTTTCTAGATGATAATCCAAGATAAGGATGGGGTATGTGTGCATTGATTCTACACAAAGTGGGTGATTGTTGAGTGGTCCACTAAAATACTTGAAAGTTAGAGGCCCACCATAAAAAGACAGATATGATATGATTTAATTTTTGGATAGGATTTAATAGGGAGTCATTTTCTTTCATGAAATTGCTCTGTTTGGTAGGAAGGAAAAAAATTGAACGGAAGGGAGAGACGAAAGGATAACTGAGACATTCCTAGAAAAGATATTAAACATTTCCCTCTTTTTGTTTGATTAGATGGAAGATAATGGAAAAACTGACAATTTAATTTGATCTATAGGATAAAAGGAAAGATAAAATTTTAAATTATTTTTACCATTAAACCCATCACTTACTTTATTTATAAGATTTATTAAATATTTATGAAGGGTGATGTAGTAATTTAAAACTTCTATAATAGGTTCAATTGTCTTTTCTCCTATCTTCCGCCCATATTTGGGAGGATGAAAATTAGTTCATTCCTTACATCATCTCTACCGAACCAAGGAGATTTGTTCTGTCCTTCAAATTTTCTTTCCATTTATCTTCTTTCCTTCCTACCAAATATAGTGTTGTAACTTTGAAATAATTAATAATTAATTGATATTTGTGGATCTTGGCCCTTAGAGAACTATCACGGGCCACCATCAACGATCTAAAATAAAAAAATTTAATTTAGACACTTGGGATGATTATTGGATCCTTTGTGTTGTGTATCCCTTTATGCTCTGTTCGGTAGAAATGAAGGAAGAAGGGTGGAAGGAAAATAGGAGGGAAGGAACAAAGTTCCTTCGTTCGGTATTTAACCTAAACAAAACTCAGCCCAACCCACCCTGGGAGAACTAGTTTTTCAAGTCTCAAGATAGGTAGCTCATCAATTTTCTAGATGATAATCCAAGATAAGGATGGGGTATGTGTGCATTGATTCTACACAAAGTGGGTGATTGTTGAGTGGTCCACTAAAATACTTGAAAGTTAGAGGCCCACCATAAAAAGACAGATATGATATGATTTAATTTTTGGATAGGATTTAATAGGGAGTCATTTTCTTTCATGAAATTGCTCTGTTTGGTAGGAAGGAAAAAAATTGAACGGAAGGGAGAGACGAAAGGATAACTGAGACATTCCTAGAAAAGATATTAAACATTTCCCTCTTTTTGTTTGATTAGATGGAAGATAATGGAAAAACTGACAATTTAATTTGATCTATAGGATAAAAGGAAAGATAAAATTTTAAATTATTTTTACCATTAAACCCATCACTTACTTTATTTATAAGATTTATTAAATATTTATGAAGGGTGATGTAGTAATTTAAAACTTCTATAATAGGTTCAATTGTCTTTTCTCCTATCTTCCGCCCATATTTGGGAGGATGAAAATTAGTTCATTCCTTACATCATCTCTACCGAACCAAGGAGATTTGTTCTGTCCTTCAAATTTTCTTTCCATTTATCTTCTTTCCTTCCTACCAAATATAGTGTTGTAACTTTGAAATAATTAATAATTAATTGATATTTGTGGATCTTGGCCCTTAGAGAACTATCACGGGCCACCATCAACGATCTAAAATAAAAAAATTTAATTTAGACACTTGGGATGATTATTGGATCCTTTGTGTTGTGTATCCCTTTATGCTCTGTTCGGTAGAAATGAAGGAAGAAGGGTGGAAGGAAAATAGGAGGGAAGGAACAAAGTTTCTTCGTTCGGTAGTAAGGAGCCAGGAAAAGAAATGATAATACATCCCTCCTTCTTTACAAATTTTCATCCGCCCAAATTTGTGCGGAAGACAGAAAATAAGTGAAGTTGTTATAAAAATATTAAATTACAATATTATCCTTCAAAATCCCTACACATCTCATCTCACGCAAAACCCTTCTATCTTGCTCTTGCTCTGTACATATATCAATTGATTCACGTATTACAAACTTATTTGATTCATGTGTTTTGGACCATATATATATAAAGGGAAAGGTATATATATATATATATATATATATATATATATATCTGTGTGTGTGTGTGTGGATTGTTTGTTTTAGAATTGCTTTAGTAGTAAAAAAAAAAGAGGATCACAGAAAAAAAGTGAATATTTATTATTGTTCGTGGACTACTCACCCCATTGTTAATATGATGACAATGTCTTTCACATTCTCATAAAAGCATGATATCAAGCGGTATTCATATTGATAAAAAATATCGAAAAAAAAGGACAATACTTAGGTCCTCACTAGTAAGGATTTACAATATACTGACTACTGACGTGGACCAATAATAAATGGACATGTCATATTTAATTATCAAATCAAAGATGGTGGGTAAATACGCACTTACCAAATAAGAGATAGTGATTTGATTACTATCTATGATTTAGTAATTAAAATAGGATATATCTCTTTATTATTGATCCACATTAGTGGTAGTATGTTGTAAATCCTCAATTGTCTAAAAAAAAATTTGGGATAGTGGTCATTAGAATGCTAGATTTTGTTTTTAGTTTAATGTTATATATATATATATATAAGAGGCAAACACAAATTAGAGTGAAATTAGAGGTTAAAAAAAATACTGATGGGTATAAGGGTAAAAATAATATAAAATTATCACTTCCCTTATCTCCTAACAAACAAACAAAGTTGTCAATTTTTTCTCTTCACTTTCGCCTAACCAAGCAAAACGAGGAAAGTTTATAATCTTTTCCCTAGAAATGTCTCATCTTTCCCTTCTTCTCTCCCTTCCATCCAATTTTTTTCCGTCATACCGAACGAAGCATAAATTTTCTCTATGTTCAGGGGCGGAGCCAAGGGGGCTAGTGGGGGCCATGGCTCCCAAAGGTTTTTAAACTTTTTACTATACCTCCAAAAAATAGTTAATTTATAAATAAATTTTAAATTGGAGTCCTAAAATTTATTCACAATTTCACTTGGCTCCACCAATTTTTTTCAAAGCACTTGTATATTGGCCTCAAAATATAGAGTTTGAAAGTTAATTTAACTTGTATCCTTTTGAAACTTATATAAAGTTTTAATTTTGACCATTTTAGTCATACTCTTGAAAACTCGAACCTTGTAGAACATACCTTCCCAAAAAAAAAAAAAAAAATCTTGTGAAGCATTTACTTTTGTTATTATGATTATAGTACACTCAACATTACTTCATTTACATATACACATATATATTAATTTAAAAGAGAAATATATTGATGTCCCCTCATTTTTAATAAAAATGCATTCACCTGTTTTTCTTTTTGTCACACATTTTAGTCTTACAGTTTCTATAGTTAATATATATAAAGTTATATACTAATCTAATCACCATTTGCGAGTTTTTGGTTCATTAGAAAAGAGGAGAAACTAAAATGTTGTGAGACATAAATGGCAAAACGCCAACAGCAACAATTATATCATATATATTAATACTTCTAATTGTCACTTGCTAAATGACAAATTGCATGGCTATTAATTTTTTGTATAGGTTACTAAAGTTATAGAACTTGTGTAATTTTATTTAAATTAAAATTATTATTTTTCTGAATCTTTCATGAAGATAATAATAATATATTTTTTCAAAAGTAAAATCAAAATACTCAAAAGGTTTTTCCAAAATGACTTTTTGAATAATTAAACAATTGTGGAAGAAAATTTGATTCTTTAACGATGCTCTTTCTTTATCTCTTTCATTTTTTATTTAAAAATTATCGTTTGCTCCTCTATATATTTCTTTCTCATATCAATTTTTTTTCTTTGGTTATTAAGATTGTATTTTTTTTTTTTCAAATTTCTTGAGGTATATATATTATGAATAAAATTTAATTACATAATATTGGTCCCCCAAACTAAAATTCCTGACCTCCGTCCCTGCCAATCATCCTCTAAGATACTTTTTCCTCCTGTATTGATATAATCAGGCGGTCACAATACAATAATTTCTCCTCCAAGATGTTTTCCGCGTGGTTTCCTTGTTCACATTACATTTTCAAGCGGCTGCTTTCGTCGAAGATGCTTAATTAAGTGTTAAGCAAGTCTTTTTACAAATAAAAAAAATAAAAAAATAAAAATGGCATTTCCGAGAACCGCCTGGGAAAATCTGAAAAGGTGTTTAAGTCAGCCTTGAATAGAGACAGCGATGACGAGTTGTTGTTCATCACCCAGGCGGCCAAAAATGCATTGGTAGAAGACGAAACACTGTCCACCGACACAATTCTGAGAAAAGTATGTTAACTTGTCCTTATATAATACAATCGCCCTCCTCGTAGTTTACCCGTCTTCGTAGCTTCTTTTCTCCCCAATTTTCCTTTCCCACTGTCCTTCCCTCTCCATCGTCCTAGTAATTGTTGTTCATCACCCAGGCGGCCAAAAATGTATCGGGATGTGAAGAGAAGTCCTTCGGTTGTAAAAACAATGGATAGTGATGGAGAAGACTCAATAATAGATATCAACGTCGTGTCCCAAGCAGACGAAAAACAGACTACTTCCATGGATGCTGAAGTGTATAGAGCCATAACAGTTGGGGAACTACAATCAAACATTTCCCTTCTGGATCAACTGAGCCCCCAACGGAACACGGTTCTTCACTATGCTGCAAGTTTAGGCCATCACCAGCTTGTGGAACCCATCCTCAAATCCTGTCCAGAGCTGTTCAGGACTACAAATTCCACAGGCGACATTGCCCTTCATTTGGCTGCAGCTTCTGGGAATCTATCTACACTCAAATCTCTACTTCATCAAGCCAAACTACTAGGACTTTTTAGTCCTCAAGTACTCATGGACGAAAATTTGGAGAAGAATACTGCTTTGCATTTGGCCATGAAATCTCATCACTATGATTTGGCTATCCTCTTAGTTGAGGAGAATGCACTAGTATCCACGCGTCCAAATGCCCAAAATATGTCCCCCCTGTTTATGGCTGCCGAAGCAGGGCAACTAGGGCTTGTTCAGCGTATGATGCAGAATATTGGAGCAGCTGACATAAGGGCCCTCGAAGGCAGGTCAGTTGTCCACGCTGCCATAAGAGCAAGAAACACAGGTACTGTTCTACTATTTTGTGTAAATCATACTCATCTCCCTGAGGCATAAAATATATATATTTATACATGCCTGGTGATTGAAAGAAAAGAAAAAGAAGAAGAAGATACTAACTGTTTTTTTTTTTGCTTTTCAATTCGCTGGAATTTAGGAGGGATTGGTTTTATAGCTTTTCTTTGTTCTCGGTGATTGTTATAGTATCTTAGTTACAGAGTGTAGATAAAGTATCGTATTTTATAATTTAATTTGACCTTTATTTAACTTATGAAATGAATCTACTCCATTTACTCATTTAGTGTGGGCTTCAATGGGCAACCCCAATTGAGATATATGTGAGCAGTTATTTTATTTATTTATTTTTAAAATATTGGTGTAAGTCCAGTCCACATCAATCACGCACATCATTGTCCTCAACAAAGAAGTCAAGAGTTCGAGTTGACAAAAAGCATGTTGCTGTTTTAATTTTCGGATTAACCTTTTTTTTTTAAGAAAAAGATTATGGATCAGTTTCTAATTTTTACAACCATGTGCCCAAAGTCATAGTGGTTGATCTCACTTGTGCCATTCTTGTACGGTGGGCGCCACCACCAATTATGTAAAAAATACTCATCTTCCCTGAGGCATAAAATATATATTTATACATGCTTGGTGATTGAAAGAAAAGAAAAAATTACTACATTTTTTTTTTCTTTCTATTCGGTGGAATTAAGAGGGATTGGTTTTCTAGCGTTTCTTTGTTCTCAGTGATTGTTATAGTATTTTAGTTACAGATTGTAGATAAAGTTTCGTATTTTATAATTTAATTTGACCTTTAATTAACTTATGAAACGAATCTACTCCATTCAGTGTGAGCTTCAAAGGGGCTACCCCAATTGAGGTATATGAGTATGCGAGTATTTATTTTTAAAATGGTGGTGAAAGTCCAGCCCACATCAATCACGCACATCATATATAGTCCTCCACAAAGAAGTCAAGATATCGTGTTGACAGAAAGCGGGATTGTTTTAATTTTCGGATTAAATTTTTTTTAAGAAAAAGATTATGGATCAGTTTCTAATTTCTACAAAATGCTCCTTCACTATTTAGCTCTCAACCTCAAGTAAATGACTTGGTGCACTGAATTGGATTCCCCAACAGCCCCCGGTTTTAAACTCTCTAGCTGACTTGGTGCACTGATAATAGTTATTGTAGCAAGTATGAAATCACAGGTCACTTTTAGATTTATTTTTTTAATTACAGCAATTAGATTTAGGTTATATATGACAGCAAATTATAGCTGCCATGTCTAATCCACCCATGCCCAAGCATTATGGAGGAAAACCAATCCGTACTCAGGCACCTACACCAGCATCACTACACCAACTAACGCACCAATTGTTGA